TATCATTTTAGAAAACATTTTATTCTAAAAAAAATTATTAATTAATTACAAAATTGAAAAATTATTGTTGCCATAGTAAAGTTTTACAATATGAATTACGTCTTTTGGATGGGCGGGAGGGGGGTGGGGATGGTTATAGGGTGAAGGGGAAGGTTGATTTTTATATATTAAAAAATATAAATGAAGGAAAATCAAGAGTCTTAAATAGCATATAACAAAAATTTTATAATAAATTATGCTTCAACTCAATAATAGAAGAATATAATAGAATTAAAATATAAAAACTAACTAGCTAAAAAAATTAAATTGTATAACCATTATATTTACTAATTAATTTGAAAATTAAAAATATCTTGAGAACCTGCTCATTAATTGTTTTTTATTAAAATTACTAAGTTAATCTTTAATTTATTCCTAGCAAAAATATTAAATTTTAAAACATTCATTGCATTTATAATTTATTATAAAATTTATTTTGAAAAATGATACATAGATGTCGTTAGGAAATAAGATTTTAGAACACCAACATTTTAAATCAATATCGCAATATTTGATTTTTCATCTTTCATTTATGTCATTTTTGACATATATTTGACATATTTAATATTACAATAATATTGAAAAATAAAATAATTAATTTATATTAATTTAAATTAATATTTAAAAAATTAAATCAACCCAAAATACAGAATTTTTTTTTTTTATAATTTTTTAAATTGGAATACGAATTTGTATAAGAGAAAATGCAAATATTTTAAATTATTACTATTGTTTTTTTTTATGTTTTTTGATTTATAGAATTAACAATATTTTTGTATTGTTCTATTTCTTTTTTTTTTTTTGTATTTTGTAAAAATGTTAAAAAACAAACAACTGTATGAATTTTTTTTCTCTTTGTTTTTTTTTTATAATTTCATTATAGCTAAAGTTGCCCTCTTTTTTTTTTGTTTCTTTTTAATTATTTCTTTTTTTTTTATTATGAAAATTTTCTATTTTGTAATTAATTTTTTATTATTTATTTAATTTTTGTTTATTTGTTATCAAATATATTTGATTGGTGTTCATTTTTGCTATTTTTAAAAAGTCTAAAGTTTTTTTTTTGTTGTTTTTTTTTGTTCTTCAATATTATATATAAATTATTAAGATTATTAAGATGAAAAGATTTACAAATTTATGTATTAATGCATTTCATGTATGTATGTATGAATTCATGTATGTATATATATAAGAAAATATGAAAACAAAAACTTAAAAGAAAAAATTATTAATATTAAAATTAAACATTTTATGATAGAATGAGTAAAAAGTAGAAAAATAAATAAAATTTCTTAATTAATGACGAAAATCGAAAATAACAAATTTTAAAAATTTTACTAATTAATTTCGTTGTAATTTTATTTAATTTTGTGACACTAAATTACTTAAAAACTGTCTAAGTCGAATTAAGTAGATTTGCGTAAATCGAATTTTATAATTTAGTAATAGAATTTCCGTTTTTTTGGAAACAACAACTGGGACATTTAAAAATCTTAGCTTGTTAAAATTGTAAAACTATTTTTGTTTTGTTTTGTTTGACCATTAAAATTTTTTTATTGGATTATAAGGTGTTGAAAGTACAGAAGATAAAAAATAAGTCTTAACCCTTTGGACCTTTATAGGTTTATTGAGAAGTAAAAAATATTTGCATATATTCATAATTCAATTCACTGTTATATTCAATTATAATAAGTCTTTGATTTAACTCTATAATTATTTCATAACTATTTTTACTATATAAGTCAATTAAATATTCATATAATAGAAAGGGATAATTATATATTAATTTATACATTGAGAAATTAACGATATTGTAATTTTTCATAATTATTGATGACGTTGCCAGACTAACACAAGGTCTTTTTTTAATGAAATTTTTATATTTTTTGTTAAAATAAACTTTTTTAATTTTTGATATCATACCATTTTTCGAAAAATAATTACTAAAAAACTATCAACACCTTAGAATTTAGAAAATTGTCTGTTTTCAGATTTAAATGAATTTTATGAATTGAAAGGAAATAATTTTAAATTACGATATTTTACTCTTACGAATTTTTATTTTAAAATTAACTTAGCCAGTTTTAACATTATAATGACACAAAATTTATCAAATTTTAATAATTTACAAAAAACAAAAGAAACTATTCCTGATTTATATATTATATATTTTTTTAAATTTATATAAAATGTCAATTTTTTTTTTCTTTCTCATTAAAGATTATTTAATTTTTTATAATTTTATAATAATAATAGCAATAATAATTATTTTAATGCAAATGTATACTATAATAATTTTACATTTTTTGTTTTTTCTTTCTTTTCTTTTTTAATAAATTAATAGGAACTCATAATATGTAATATACATATACACATTAACTAATATACATATGTATATATATATGTATACATATATATTTATTATTTGTTTTATTTTTTTTAACAGCAATTTATTATAATTTATATTTCTAATTAATTAGTTTTCATACAATTTTAATAAATTAATTTTTACAGTTAATAGAAAGAAAAAAAATAATCAAAAATAACAAAAACAAAAATGAATTTTTTATTAATTTATAATTTTATTCAATAATAATTAATTTTTTTATTTATATAATGCTATAAATTTATTTTTTGTTTGTTGCTTTGTTTTTCTAATTTGTTCTTTAAATCACCAATTATAATATTAGAATATTAATTAATTAATTAGTTATTTTATTCCAACATACATTTTTATATTGTTATATAATTATTTAATATAAATATATTTATGTATATGTATTTTTATTATATATATATATATATATTGAATATTGTTTTAAAAAATTTTAAATACAATATTCAAAATCACCTTGTAAGTTTTTTGTTTATAATGATTATAGGTCAAATTTTTTTAATTTTTTAATTAATTTTTATTTTTCTTATGCCTTATAATTTTACAATAACATTTATTTTTGTAATTATTATAATTAAATATTATTATTATTTAATTTAAATTATAAATTTATTATTACTTATTTTTTCATATTTTAAATAACAATATTTTTAAGAGCTTATACAATAAATTATATTTATATATATATATATTTTTATATAATATTAAATTTTATAAATAGGTAAATTCAATTGACCTATAAATGGAATTGCAGTCTTTACATAATATATATATGAATATATTTTTGTTTTTTTTTAATTATTATTTTTTTAATGTATATAATTTAGTTAAAATGTGTGTAAGTGTGTGTATGTGTTTTGTTTTTTAAATTTTAAATTTATTTACTTATATTTAATTTTATTTTAATATATATATATATATATATATATATATAAATATTTTGCATATTTTATTCTATTTATTTTTATAATATTTTGTTTCTAATTTTTTTTCCTTTTATAAATAAGATTTTTGTTTATGATAATTTCTTTTTTTTAAATGAAATTTTTTTTATTAATGTATATTTTTTTTGGAATTTTATTATGTATATATAAATAAGCTTAAAGATTAATTTTTAAATAGACGACAAATTGTTTTGTTGTTAAATTTTTTTTTCCATATATGGAGTAAAATAATTATATTTTAAGTATATTATGTATAAGGGTGTGTGTTATTTATATTTTTGTCCTTTTATTTATTTATTTCGTTTTTTTTTTGTTTTGCTAAACTAACATTTATAAACTACATTTAATATAATTGTAGAGTGATTTGTTTTTGGTTTTTTTTTGTTTATATTTTTTTGTTTCAAAACTTCAAACTTTGAAAAAGAAACACTCATTTATTAATTTGTCTTACAGTGCATGAAAAATGATTATTTTTCAATTATTTTTTTAATTTAAATATTTTTGCTTTGTTACTTCTTTATTCTTATAAAATTTTTTTGTTTGTCATTATCGTTTTCTTCAATTTATTTTTGTTTTATATTATTTCACGTATTTTACGTTATTTTGAATTAAAATCAAAGAAAAATTTAAAATTAAAAAATTATATAAATAAATAAAATATTCTTGAAAAAAATTGTTTTTGAGTGACAGTTAAAAGTTATTACGCATTTGAAGATGTCAAAGTTGTGTGCCAAAAATGACAAATATCTATATCTACAAATGTCAAAGTAATTTGCAAAATTGACAAAATAACAACACCGTTCTTCATTCTTTCAAATATATAAATGCTGTCACATTGCTATTGAATATTTTTTTTTCCATTATTAGAATTTTAATAAAAACTTTTAACAATGCGAAACGAAAACTGAAACGATTCACGGGACAAAATTATCATAAATTAAATTATTTCTCCTTCAATATATTGCAAAAAAAAATAATTAACAATGTCTTTTAATTTTAATTTGCCACTCAAATTTTAATTGTAGTCATTTAAAACAAAATTTTTTAAAATTGAATCATAATTATAAAAGAAATTTTTATTTTGATATGTTTATATAAGTTTTTTTCTATCAAAAATATTAAATGAATGTGTATACAAATATTAATTCAGAATTTCATTTTTATATAATAATAATTATGTATTTATTGTGGGAATTCAATTTTTCTTTTTTAAATTATACTACTGTAATTAAATCATTTTCAAACTTATTTCTAATATTACAGCACGCATTTGAAATTATTTAATATTGAATTAAAGCTTGCATAATATATTTACTCGTTTTATTTTTATAATAGCTATTTATATTAAAAACTTAGAAAAAAAATATATAAATTAATTTGAAATTCTTAATAATTTTATAACAAATATCACTTAATAGATCAATAAGTTTTGAATTTTAAATTTTGAATTAAATATATAATTAATATGTCAAAAATAGAAAATGGGAATCCCATAATAAATATTTATTATTATATAATTAATAATTATAAAGAAAATTATATGTAATAGCAAATTTATATAATATATGTAATTATATATAAATTTATGTAATTATATATAATAATGTATTACATAATTATTTTTTCACTTCTTCAAAATTTTTAACTCTATAAATCTACAGATTTTAGTGAGTGACTGCATAATATTTATATATTATTAAATTAAATTTTAATAATATTTTGTATGTACGTTAATATGAAAATTTTAATTTTTAATCTCCAGTAAATTTTTATAATCAGCCCCATAATATTTTTATTTAATTATATTTACTTTTTTGTTCTTAAATATTAAATATTTTAATATTTAATTGTTCCTATATATTTATTTTTTTTTTTTTTAAATTTATAATAAATATATATTTAATTTGTAAATAAGAATATTTAATATAATATTTTATATAATTTATAATAATATGTATATATGTATATAGTATATAAATAAATACTTTTATATTGATTCCATTTGTTCAGATAATTCTAAAATTGGACTTTCACTTAACGGTTGCATTGGCGGTGATAAAGGATGATTTGTATGCTGCCATGTTGGGGTATATAAGCTAGCAGTATTCTAAAAGAGATAGAATATGTTTTTTTTTTGTTTGTTTAATTTTTTTGTTTCGTTTTTTTTTCATTCCCCCATACATAGGATAGAAAGAGAAAACCGAGAAATAAATTAAGAAAACAGAAAAAAAATGATGGTAAATATATTGGAAAAAAAAAATAATTTAATTTTTTTTTATTTTTATAAATTGATTTTTAAAAAACAAAATAATAAAAATATTTTTTTTTTTGCATGTTATAAGTTCTATGCTTTTTTTTACATATTAATAATGTATTAAATTTGCATTAAGCTATACTAATTATAAATAAAATAAATATTATACATTTAATTTTATAAATTTTTATTATTAATTAATTAATTAAACGCAATAAAATCATACATATATATATATAAAATCGCAATACTATCTTGAAAATAATAATATTAGTTTTCTAAATTAATTAGCTTGTTTTTTTTTTCTTACTAATCATTTTTGTTTATATAATTCTGTCTATTTCTATATACATATACATACATATATATACATTAAGCATATTATTTTTAAATAATATATCTAAATCTAATATAATGATATAAATAACGAAATTAATAAATTAGTAGATGCTAACAATTTCTAAAAAAAAAAGAAAACAATTTTACAATATTAATATTATAAATATATCAATAATTAATGTGCTAACATTGCATATAGCTATTATATAATTAATTATCATTATTATTAATGGAAAATTAATAATATTAATAATAATGATAATAATTCCATAATATAAAAATAATAAAAATTTTTTCTAATTTTAAAAAAACACAGCATTGTTTTTGTTTTTTATCTTGCAATAAATTTAGCAAATAAGCTTTTGTATACCTATAATAATTAATTGTATAAAATTGTTTGATTTGAAAATGTATATATGTATACATATATACATCTTTGAAACTGTGTATGTACATATTTGTATATATATGTATACATTTATACATATATATTTCTATCTGTACAATAATGTATTTGGTTTATTAACAAAGCAGCAGCAAAAATCATGCAATTTAAAAAAATATACATTTTTTTTTTTATTTATTATTTTCTTTCGGAAATATTTTTTTAATTATATTTTAATAATTAATTTATAATAAACAAGCAGCATATTTATAACATATGTAATATTAAATTGTGTTTCTTAGCAATTTTTATATTTATAATTTTGATATTTTTTTTTATATTTTTTGTAAATACATTTAATAAATTTAGTATAGTTACTATATAATATCAATAATAATATTAATTTATTAAATATTGTGCAGTATAATATTCCTGTATACATATAATATGTGTAATAATTAACTATAATATTAATTGTATATATACAAATTATTATTTTTATATTTTTAATCTAATTTTATAGGCGTATATTCATTTAATATTTATTTAGTCTAATAGTTTTTCTTTTACAGCATGTATACCTAATTTCAACTATCTAATATGAATGATATTAAAAAAATAATAATTCTCTTCAAATATTATAATTGAATTTTGATTCTAATATTATTAAACTAAGAATTAAATATTAAAAAATTTCTGGAAAAAATTTAAATTTCTATTAATATTGAGATTTGTAGAATTAATAATTAATGTAAATATGCCTGATTTAGTGAGCAAAATTTCTATAAATGAAATGGAAATTATGTGAATTTATTTAATTATTTAATATTAAAATTATTAAAATTTGCTTATAATTAAAAAATAATAGGTATGTAGCTACTCAATACAATAATTCAAAAATATAATTGTTAGAAATTTAAAATTGAAAATAATTTTTAGATTATACTTATAAATTTATATAAATCATCTTATGGTCAAATGGTGAGAGTTTAGTTGAACCTATTAATTCACAAACTTAATACTTGAAAATATGTAATTGAATTTTTGTAATTTTTAATCAAATTTCTTGAAACAGAGCTTCAAATTACAGAAAAGCATTGTAGTAAAAAGAACTAATTTAATATAGTAAGAAAATAATTTGTAAATAAATATTAAAATAAATTTTATAGAGACTTTATTTCTAAGTTGTTAAAAAAGTTAATAAGAAAAATTTATTTTTAACTACCTAAAGTAATAGAATTGTTTCTAATAAAGCTCATTTTGTTAAAAATGTAATATTAAATCTAAATATAGAACTACTATGAAATTAAATAGGTCAATACCTAATTTTACTAATTGAAATATTATTCACAAATTGAACAAATAAAATTTCGAAAGAAAAAAAATTAATTCTTAGAAAGAGAAAGAAATATTTTACTACATGAATGAGAATAAATTCGTCTACTACATATTATTGTATTTATGTAAAAACACTAACGTTCAAATATGAATTATCTAATGATTAATTAATTTTTGATCATATCTATATTGTATATTACTTACTAATAGAGTAATATCAATATATTGTATATTACTCTATTTATTAATTAATATAATTATTTATTAATTATATTTATTAAAATTAATTGATATATAATATTTATCATACAATTTTTATATTATTTAATATTATATTGTGTATAATATATTCTTAATTATGAATAAAATGCATTTAGCATATACGTTATATAATATGTATATGCTACATAAATAAAATTATATCACTATAACAAAGCTTTATTATATTCAGCTAAAAACTATATAAATTATTTTTTTTGTAAATTATTAACAAACAAACATTTTTCATTTTTAAAGCAAATTATACCAGCTAATAATAATATAGCAATAAATATATAGAGCTATATAATTATAAACACTAATAAAATCAAATTAATAAAAAAAAGTAAATAAAATATTTTTTTTTTTAGATAATACTTTTAAATTCCAATAATTTAATAATAGCATCTATAAAAATGGTTATCATCAGTCATAAGTTTTTGAATTTTTAGATTTTTTTTTTGTTTCTATATAGCTATTTGCTCAAAAACTTAAAAAAATTCGATTTACATACACATGTTTACAATATGTGAGTCACTTTTTCCAATCGCTTAATTTCGTACATTTAATTGATTCTCTATTATTTACTATTAGGTAAAATTGTAACTTTCGGTTCTCTCATATTTTAATTCAAATTAAATTTCAAGACATTTTATCAGAAATTTGAAAGAGAGAGAATTAGTTTATAGCATTATACGAGTACTAGAGAAAGTGACACGAGTAAATGAGCACATTTTATATAACATTTATTGACATTTTATACATCATAACCACATTTGTTCGTAGTTGCATTAAATAAAAATGTCAATTCCTATGTGAAACTGTATGCAATTTTACTCTAATGTCATGTCAAAATCGTTAAATCACTTAAATTCGAAATTTGATTAAAATAAGTGACACTCATAGCAAAACCAGGTAATGTAATTTCCAATCTTTTTTTTTTTCAAAAAACTATTCAAAAATACAACTTTTTACATACATACGTTATTTTTACTACATACATATGTAAATAAATATTATCTTAATTGTCAATATTTTTAATAAATTAATTTACACTGAATATAAAAATTTAATAAAATTTCATTCCATTAATTAATAAATTTTAAATGAAAACAATTTCGAAAGAAAAAATTGGAAAAAATTTTCACATTAGTATTTTTTTTTCAAAAATTTCTTTAAATATTTTGACATTTTTAATGACAACTTTCTATTTGTCATATAATATTTAGTTTTAATTGAAATTTATTTTAATTAATTATTGACATTAATTTTTTTATAATTATTTTTAATTGAACGTTAAGTTTTTTTTAATCAAGAATATTGTTACGCTTTTAAAATTTTATATATGTAAATAATTTATAGTAAAAATAATATAATAAATTATTAATGAAAAAATAAGCAAAAAACATCAAAATAAAATTTTTATAAAAAAATTAAATTAATTTTTCATGTATTCAATAAATAAAAAAATCCAAAGAAATTATGTTTTTAAAAAGAAAATTACTGTTAGTGTTATTATTTTATAGATAATTTAGCCAAAGTCAGTATTCTTTGTGACTGGCACACTTATAGGCGTTATATATACATAACTTGTATAATTTTAGAAAAGCGTATATTTTTAATTCAACAAAAAATATAACAGTTTAACAAGTAAAATTAAACAAAATTATAGTTATAAAAATTATTCTAAAAAAAAATTAAATCTAAAATTAATTTATATAATATGAATATGTGTATATATATATATATATATATATTATATAGTTTAGTAATCATATTATAACAATAAAAAAAATATTAAAATAAAATAAAAGAAAACAGTATTGAAAACTTGAAACACAAAAAAAAACAAATACTTTTAACAAAATATTAATATTATTTTATTTTTTAAAAACATTTGGTTTCTACTATATATATATACTTATATATATATATATATATATATATATATATATATATATATATATATAATGTATATATATACATGTATATAAATATAGATTAATCTAAAATATTGATCATCCTATTTATTGACTTGTTGTCGTAAATACCTGGAATATTGGAGAATGACTAGATGATGATGACCAGGTGTTGTTATCTAATGATAATGTTCCATCATTTATTTGACAAGATGTTTGCATTGAACCTGGCAATTGATTCCAACAATCTCCAGTTGTACTTGAAGAATTAATATTTTGTAAATTTGTTGTTGAATTACTACCACTACGGCTAATTAATAATGATGGACTAACACTCGGTGGCGGTTGTTGATGTGGTTGTGGTGATGTTATAATTGGAAGTGATTGTGGTTCTGGACTTAATTGTTGTGAATGTTGCTGTTGTATATGTGATGTTTTCATAATTTTTGGTGAACCAGATACTGATGGTGTTGGTGATTTATTTAATATAACAACTGAACCAGATATTCCACATGATATTGGATTTAAATTAATACTACTACCACCAATAATTGAATTTGGTCCAATTGAATTTGCTGTTGTAATATTACCTTCAACAATAGCTTGAAATGCTAATAAATCTTCTGATTCAATTTCATTTAATGGTAATGGTGGAAGAATTTGCTGTTGTTGAGCTATTTTATAACTTTGTTGTCGTAACATTTGTCTACGACTTAAATTTGTTTCGAGTGCAACTTGCTTTTGAAATATTTGCCTTTTTTGTTGTAATAAACGATGTTGCATCAATTGTTGTTGTAATGGAGGTTTTTGTAATTGTGTTGGATCAATTATATTATTATTTGTACCACCAGTAATACCGCTTGTTATATTATTTCCACCACTTATTGTATTATTACGATCTGTAGATGATGATGATGATGATGATGGTAATGATGATGCTCCTGTTGATTGTACAATTATTGATGATGGAGAATTTGAATCTAATCGCATATAATTTAAAAATTGTGTTATATCTGTATTTTTATTATATGTATTATTAATTGTATTTGGACTATTATAATAATCAGATTGTTTTAAACTATGATGAAATAATGTTGGTGGATTTAAATCCATGGCAGTTTTATTTGGATTTATATGAAATTGACTGTGCTGTATTTGACGGACGGTCATTTCATCTGGTGGTACATTTGATTGATATTGTGTTTTTAATTGAGCTGCCTCTTTTTGTAATACATGTAATTCTAATACACCTTTTGCTTTATATGCTTCATGTAAACGTTGACTATTGAATGCAACACTAGTATTAAATGGATTTTCTGATTGTGAATGTAGAATACCCTGTGCCACAAGACCATCACTAGCTCTACGACCTTCTCTGCAATGAAATACACACACATATATATATATATATATAACAATATGATTTTTATTAATAATAATATAAGATTTTACAAAATATCATTATTTACCAACATAGTATAAAAAAAAAAACTCACCTAAAATCAACTGGTGATCTTGTTATTGCACGACACCGTTTTTGATTATGATGTGGATGATGTTGATTACTATTATTACCATTTAAATTTAAATGTCCTGCACCATTAATATTCATTGGATTGTGTCGGGTAAATGAATTTGGTGATTTTGCTGATAACGAAACATAAACACATGGATGTAATGAAGTTGAACTAATAACTGTAGCTGAATCAGTTTCGGTTGAAACAGTTGCTGTTGTTGCACATGATGGTAAACTACCAGCTAAATCACTACAATCCGATAGATTTAGATCTAAACTTTCAAATGTTGAAAAATTACTGCGTGATGATTCACAGCTTAAATTTTGACTTAAACTTTTTGAATGAAAATTTGTTACAACTCCACTGGATGAACTACTACTGGCATATGAATTGAGACGTTGTATTGGTGTTGGAACTGTGGAAGGTGTTTCATCCATTTCTAATTTTTAGTTTCATAATTTTTTTTGTGTGTTTTTTTTTTTTAATAAAATTTTTTTTTTTTTTGTGATTTGGTTTTTTTTTTGTAAAATTTTTTGAATTTTTGTGAGGAGGACAAATTGATTGAATAATTTTTTTTAACGTGTGTGTGACGGAAACCAAAACGAGTTTTATTATATATATATATATATATTTGTGTGTATATATATATAAATATATTTGTTATATATATATGATATATATATTTATATAAATTATATTTTTATTTTTGAAAAAATGAAACGAAAATGTAATAAAAACAAGAAGTAAATAATAAATAAATAGAAAAATGTGTAAAAATATTTTAATTTTTTTTTCTAAATATAATAAAGTATCTTTTTAAGTACGTATTTAATTATAAAAATAAATAAGGGATTATAAATGTATTGTAGTTTTTTTTTTCTTTTAATTTTGAAAATAAATTTGGCAATAAAAAAAAATTAAAATTAAATAAAAAATTGTTTTTGAATTGATAAAATTAAAAAAAAATAAAATAAAAACAATTAAAAACAAAGCGCATATTTTATAAGAATCATGGTGAGTTTGCAGGTATGTCGAATTTGGTGAAAATTTTTTTATATATATAAACTGTCTAATACATTTATATATATATATACATAACATTTGTATGTATATATATAAATTACTTTTCTATTAAATATATAAATTTTAAAATTATAGTTGAATTATTTAAAAAAAATAAATAGCAAAATCAAATTTACCACACAATTAGTACAATCATTTTTTTGTTCTCAATATTAAAAACTCAATTGGTTAATTGAGGTGAAAAAAAAAACTAAACTACATAATTTAATAATTCTTTCATTCTTGTTTGGTTTTTCTCATTTTATTTTTTTTTTATTTTAATAAATTTATTAATTAATGTTGATGAAAATTATTTTGCTAAATAATATAATTATGCAATTTAAATTAAAAGGAATTTAAAACAACACAAAAGGAAAAATTATCAAGTCCAAGTATATCGAAAAATTCGTTTTGATAATAAATGAGAATTCGACATGTTTAAAAGAAAATTAATTCTCTTTTTCAATTTATTATAGTAAAATAACAGTATAGAGCTTATTATAGAAAAATAAACCTTATACCCTTACAAATTATTCTTGTAATAACATAACGTAAACTCAATTTTTATCGAAAAGAATTCATCGGTAAATAATTTTGAGTGTGTATTTATCAACATTTAAAAAAGATAGAATCAAATGGCAAAAAAAAAAAGAAGTTCCTATTTTTTCCACAATAAAAATTTCAAAAAAAATATATTATAGCAACAAGTATATTTATAATTATTATATATTAAAAAGAAAATTTAATCACATAGCGCAAATTCCATGGAACAAACAAAAAATTTACAAAGAACGAAACTAAATAAATAATTAATTAACAAAGCCTAGATTTAATTATATGATGAAAGATGCCTTAATTACTATACATTTATATATATGAATAAAATTATATATATGTATTAAATATTTTTAATAATAACTGTACATGTATACAAATTATGATATTTAGTAGATTGATTCCCATACATCAATTCAGTTAGAAATAATTAAACATTTTAGTAAAAGAAATATTAATTTATTTGAATCATACCATACATTGGGATAAATGCAACTGAACTCAATTGGGTAGCGTTCATTTAATCAAAAAAAGTAATATACACGGTATTGCCATGGTAATGAAATTTTTTTGATAAATTTTGCACAAATTAGTAACATATTTTTTTTATACATAGCATTTTTATATTTGATTTTTCACTGAGACTAAATTGATGTAGTTGAAACAAGCCTTATTTTGTATATAGAAGACTGAATTTTTAATCAGTCTTCTATTAATTGAGAATAGTAGAGTATACATTTATATAATATAGAAATTATTTGTGTTTATATTTTTGTAAATTCATTTTTTTATTTTTTAATCTTATAAATAATTGGAATCATAATATTTAACAATAGATTTTTATGGTAATCAATTTGATTGTCAATATTATAATGCTCCGTTAAATTTAATACAAGTTCATGATTCTCATTTTATTAAGATTTTAGACTTTTGTATAGTTAACTGTGACATTGGAATCAATATTACATAGTATTAATTCTACATCATTTTACAAGTGAAATTTATAAGCTTAATTATATTGTAATACAATGCACTCCCGCAAATTTCAATGTCAAGTCAAATTGTATATTAGCTCATAAATTTTTTTTAGTCTTTTATTGAAGTCTTTTAGTGATTGAGACAAAAACTGCACATTGATAGTCTTAAAAGTTCATTTAAATTACGGAAATTACGATACAGTTTAATTATGAACAATTCAGTTTAAAAATTTATTCCGGAATTGTGTTAGCGTATATCTATAAAAATGTTATTACAATTTTGAATTTATTTCTATGGTAGAAAAGGTTAGTTAAAAAAGTATCTCGGCAGAATATAATTTGTTTAATTTATCATGAACTCGTAAAATATTTTACGATAACATTCATTCAAATATTCATTTAAATTTTATATGAAAACTTTCTGTCTGTTCTATAATTTTGAATTTATCTTCTCTAAGGCATTTCTTATTTTAAAATTATTTTTAAATTCAACTTAGAAATAAAAAAATGAATTGTATAAGAATTGATTTTTTCTAATTAATTTTATATTCTTTTTGTTTTCGTTCTAAATTAATAAAAAATGTTTTTTAAAGCATTCACATTATTCTTATTCTTTTTTTTTGCTTTATAATTAACTATTTTATGGTATTTAAGGATAATATTGAACATCTACAAATAATTTTAATTTTTTTTTTTGATTTTTCGAAATTTTTAGAAAAAAGATTTAAAAAAAAAACTACAATAAATTAATTTCTATTGCCATTCACCTTTTAACTCACCTCCATGGTCAGTATCACAACCTTCATCGGTACTCGAACTATATTGGGCAGTTATTTGTGAATAACGCGGATGTAAATTACTAGAATTTTCATTTTCCAAGGTTTGTAAATAGCTATATGATGTTAAATTATTTAAGTATTCCTTATAGGAAGGATTATTGCGAGTATATTCACTAAAATGAAAATTAATAAAATATTTTAATTAATATGGGCATGTTTTATATATAATGCAAAAGTTAAAAAATATTTTTTATATTGGCAGATATTTAATTTAATATGAAATATGAATTAACGCAGTTTATACTTTATTGGAGTTCAGGCTACGAGTAACAAAGAAGTTAGAGCCAGAGTCAGAGACAGAACTCCGGTTAGAAGCAGAGCTAGAATCAAAGTCAGAATCGGACTTGTAGTTACAGGTAAACTAGAAAATTAAATAACAAAATATTTTTTGCCTATAGGGAATTTGAAATCAAAAAATAACTGAAATTGTAGTCGAAATTGCAGCGTTATGAAACTTACTCCGAAAACTTACTTCATAATAAAGAAGCTTAAATAATAAATTGAAAATTTCAATACTAAGTTATGGGTTTCGAACTTTTACATAACAATAAGAAGTAATACATACTTAATATCTTATATTAAAATATACCTATAATTTGTAATTTTATCTTTCCCACAGCCAATAGTATCACAATGTCTCACATCACTTGATTGCGTATTTAAATTTCCTATGCCAGGATTACCTCCTCCACTACTATTATAGTTACTGCTTGCACCTCTGCTACTATTATATAAATGACTGCCGCTATCTTGATTTATTTGAGACAAGTAACGACCCCCCGATTCAGTTGATGCTCTCGCCTAAAATTATATTACAAAATATAAATAAATTAATAATTTGCTTTAAATAATGAAATATGAATTCAACATTGTTAATTTCCCAAAAAAAAAAAACTAGAAAAAAAAATAATTTACAACAACTGGTTAGTTAAAAGTTGATAGAACAAACATATATAAATAACAAATTACAAATATTATACTTTCAACTAAGAAACAATTTGTTTTATAATTATAGCAAAAAAAAAATAATAACATACTATGTTTTAAACTATTAACAAAAAATCAAAGAAAAAAACAAATTTAAACGAGGGTAAGAAGACAAAAAAAAATCTATGATACATTTAATTCTAAAAAATTATTTACATCAAGTGAAACCAACGGTAAAGGACTCTGTTGTAATGTGTGAAAAAGTTTTGATGCTTCAGCAGACATAGTAAAAAATCCCGATGATGGTACTGGCATTGAATGCTGATGATGTAGATTACCATGATGATGTGATGATGAACCTGAACTACTACCACCGCCACCAGTTCCAACTGAATTTGAATGATGACTACTATGATGATGATGATGGTGGTGATGTAAATGATGTCCTCCAGTATTATTACCACCTGAACCACCACTAACTGGTAAACTTGATTTTGAATCAAAACTATTTGATGATGTTAAACTTCTATGTGGAGTTAATGGTTGATGAGTTTTATTTATTGTTGGATCAAGACTATTACTAGCACCAATACCAATATTAATACCAACATTAACACCACCACCACTACCGCCACCACTATTACTATTATTACTACCACCACCAGCATTAACAACACCACTACCAATAGCTAAAGAACCTCCACTTGTTGAATTTAATGATGAATGAACCGATGGTACAGTCGGTGGAATTGCATCCATTGGATTTATTGAAGATAATACCAAACTACGTGATGGATCTGATATAGCGGTAGCCTTAAATATTAAATTATTTTTTTTTTCTGATATTTACTATTGCATTTTTGTTTTTTGTTTTTTTTTTTTAATTTTCTTAGCAAAAGTATGAAGAAAAAAAATTACTACTTTGAAAGAAGTTGATATATATATATTTGTCTTTGTATATAATGATTAAGTATAGAATGGCGTTGGAAAAGAATGTTAGTTATTAAAATTTATTAGAAACTTTTGTTAGTATAAAAAAAAATTAAAGCTATATTTATGCAATTCAATATGATTATAGTTTAGTATGTTAAATTTGGGATTAATTAGTCCACATGATTTACATTTAATTTTTGATATTACAAAATGGTGGTTTTACGTTCTATGTTTCGGTTTAAAATTTGACCAATAATCGGGACATGGAAATTACGAACGATGATTTTTTGAATGATTTTGTAGTCCATAAATTTTACTCAAATTTCGGCCAGTGAATGAAAAAAAAAACAAAAACTATTCTATTCACCATGTATACATTGTTCAATTACGGAATTCAACTCATACACCACACCAATGAAATTTTCTAAATTTATTTGATTTTAAACATATTCTTTTCCAACACCTCTTACAAATTATAATGTGAAAGAGATTTTTTTTTTTGTTTATTTTGAAATGAAACTCAAAACAAGGTAACATGGATGTCTACAACATAAGCTTCTTTCAAAGAAAAGAAAAAAAATAATGTATCTTACAACAACTTACCTGTTGCAAGAGTCTTCGACAATCTTCTGAACTTTGTTTTAATATTCTTTGATCGATACCACACGATAATAAACGATTCGATGGGACTCTATGTGATAAATCACGTGATAAATATGAATTACTTTCTCTTAATAATGGTGTCACATTACTACCACTACCACTTGCACTATTACCACCAGAATATGGTGAATTACATTCACGTTCTCTTGTTGCTAAAAATGCTGACGAAGGTATTGCTGTTAATTTAATATTATTACTTGGACTACTTGATGATGAATTATTATTATACATTAAGGAACCACGATAATATTGATGATGATGTGATACACCACCAATAATAGAACTACCGTTACCACCACTTGTAATAACATTACCACCACTTCCAATATTAGTAGTACAATTAATATCACGATTATAATGTGATGTTTGTTCACGTATATTAGTATCACGTAATGGTATCATTCCAGTTGGTACTAACATCATTGAATTATGATCATATCCAGATAAATTTGTTCCTAACATAACACTTCCTAACATACATGAACCACGATCATTATTACTTGATGATGATATTGCTGTATTTTGTATATGATGATGATTTTGATGATGTTGATGATGATGATGATGATGATGTCTTGGTGATAATGATGTTTCACGGCCATCTCGACTAACAGCACCACTAGCTGTATGTAAATTAGCACCAATTGAATTTAATCCTAATTTACGCATTGCTTGTTCAGCTATTGTACTTGGTCGACGTCGTTGTGAATCTAAGGCATGTGGATGTTTACCAACTTGATTACTAATAGCACCAACAACAGTACTACCACTTGAATTTGTAATAGCATTTGGATGTACTACACCTAATCCCATTGATAAATTCGATGTTGATGTCATATGTGATATTGAATTTGTATTATCTTGTGATAAAGAACGTGTACGTACTCTATCTTGTAATAATAAATAAATTGCAGCTATATGATCATAACTATTTTTCTATATTTAAAGAGAAAAATTAAAAAAAAAAAAAAAAAAATATGTAATTTTATTATTTTTTTTTGGTTTAGATCTTAGCTTTATTTTCAAAATTAATAAACTTACTTTCAGACTTTCTCTCGTTTTAAGTGGATCAATACCAACAAATTCTGCCATTATTCTTAATATATCTTCATTTGGTTCAACTAATGATGTACCACCAGGATGTGTTGCTGATATTTCTGATACAACTGGTGTTTCCATTACTTCAGCCATCATCCAACGATGACGTTTTATTTGTTCAATTGTATAACGGCGGGTTGGATCTAATACTAGCATCTTACGAATTAAATTTTCACAGTCTATAAATAAAAATATAAAGAAATAAATTAAAACTTATTAAAAAACTTTAAATATTTTAATTAAAAAATTTATTTTATTTCAAAACATAGGGTAAAAATTTTTAAATTTTAAAAATTTATAAAAATTTAATTTTATGTCAAAAGTTTAATTATTTCTTTATTAAAAGAGGGTCCAAACTTTCATTATAAAAGTATAAAACATAAATTGTTAAAAGTTTATTGACCCTATTATTTTAAACATTCATTACTGACTCTATGTAAACAATCACATTAACATTCAGAATAGAAATTGTTATTGTAAAAGGAGAAAGAGATTTCTTCTCTTAATGAATAAGGAGTACCTGCCCTTAATATACTTCTTACTTCTCTTATTCATTATGCTCAACAAAAAAAAAATGTTTTTTAATTAAATTTAAAATACTTGAATACTCTAAAAATTAAAGTTTTCCTGTAAAATATTTTTTTCGAAATTATTTCATTACAATGTAAATAATAAAAAGAGAAAGAGAAAATAAAGAGTTCTTAAATTTTACCGTTTCTTTTTTCTATGTACAATGTTAGTTTATGTGTGTAAATGCAAAGGCAGAAAACTTGTGGGATTTCATATTTTCGGTGTTTGCTTTTCTCTTTTTTTTATATGGTATTTTTGAATGTTGTTATCCTTATTATATATCAAAAAGAAAACATAATTTTTTTTCTCGTGTTATATTGTTTATTTATTTTTCATCTTATTTATTTTCTCATTTCTTGAATTCAACAAAATACAAAAATTAATGATAAGTAGTGCTTTTAGAAATGAAAATGCACAAAAACAAAAAAAAAGATGGAGTAAGTCTTTTTTTTTTATAAAAAATTCATTTTTAAATATACAAGAGTATTTTTTAATTTAGTCCATATTAAAAAAATATTTTATGGGTAAAAGAAGAAGAGAAAAAAAATATTAAAATATCTACTTTAGTTCTAGTAAAATATTTAGTAGCACACTTCTAAACTACTTCTATTTTTATTTAATTTTTTTAGATTTGTTTTAAAAATTCAAAATGAATTCAATGAATTCTGTTTTAATTCTTCAACATTTTAATTATTTAACAAAAACAAAAAAGAGTAAAAATTTATGTGTCGTATTTTTTGTATTTTTATGAATTTTTATTTTTGTTTTTTATAAATTTAAATTTAAAATTTAAAAAATTTAATATTGAATAATTGCAATCTTACTCTTTTATCATTTTACTCACCAGGTGGGAAAAATATTTTTTTTACTCACAAAGTGAGAAGAAAATTTCTCATATTTACTCACTCTTTTTAAGAAGGTGAGTAGTTTGGGCAAATAATTTAAAATAAAATACATATGAGAATAATGAGAAAAAACTCAATATAATAAACAAAATTATTAGAAAAATGGCATATTCAATGCCATGGCAAACAGCTGGCTGGAAAACTGAAACCTATACTCCTCTTTTATAGCACAGAAGAAAATTTTCCAAGTTAAAATTGAAGTGCAGGCTCTTCTTTATTTAATTATTATAATATTTTACTGAAATAATAAAATTCAAAAAAACAAAATCAATCCCTACAAAAATCTAGAAAAGAAATGTGAAAAGTTAAAATAGGGTGCAGTGTAATTTTTGTTTTTTCTATAATAATTATTTATTGTTGTAGAAATGTAATTAATAAATTACGTAAGGGTGTTAATTCAAGCAAAAATTTAATTTGCGTTTTTTTTTTAATTCTAACAATAATATGCAATTTAATAATAACAAAATTATGCTTTTAAATTTTCATCTCTTCCATAAATTTTGTTAAATTTTTTAACCCTAATCCGGTGCCCGCAGGTGAATTATCTCCAATTTTGAAAATATATATATAAATAATAAAGAAAAACAACAAAAATAAAAAACAAAAACATAAAATGAATATTTTACATAACATATTTTATAAATAAAAAGTTTTGGGTAATTTGTGTGGGTAAACGTATAATGTGTGATTATTTTTTAATTGGCATATTAGGGTTAAATGCTCTTCATAAAAATTTTTATAGCAACATCAAAATAACTTTTTTTTTTCCAATTTAATTATTAAATATATGAAAATCAGAATTAAATAAACCGAATTTTAATTTTAAAGTTCATTGATCTGTGCAAGGCATTCAAAATTTAGGCATTCATTCTAAATCTACTTAAAAAATAAATAATAATTTTTATAGACAAAAATTAATTGTGACAATTGTCTATACATGTATATAAAAGTTATATAATGGAATAAGTTCCTCTTTTTTAGTTTTTATTCTAATTATTTTTTTGAATGTGTATAGAGGAAGAGAATTAAAAAAAGAAAATATAACAAATGAATTCAAAAACTACAATATTTCCTTTCAAAAAACGATTCATTTTTTTGTTTGTTTCTATGACTCTCAATTTTCTTTTTCTTCTGTATGGCATTAGTTATGTTTTTGCTATACGTAGATGCAAAAAATACCACATGTCTCTTGCAATAAATTCCATTGTCTTTTATTTTATATATGTTTTATATTTAATCATCCTATGACAAAAACAAAAAATTTAACAAAAATAAATAAAAGAATTCGTAAAAAAACACAAAATCAAAAAATTATGTTTTTGTTTTTTTGAAGTAGAATTGGAAAAGAAGATGTCACTATATGTTTTGAGATAATGATGAAGGCAAAATTAAGACTTCTAACAACAAAAATTATTCTAAATTGAAATTGTTTCAAAAGAGCTCCTGAATTTGAAAATAAAGTTAGGCTAAAATTTGAACTATAAACAAAGTGTTTTAAATATGAACAAAGTCTAAATGAATTAAACTTTTTCAGTCACAACAATTTTTTAAATTGATAATTAATGTATGTAAAAAACACATTCTTTCAGAAAATCTATAGAGTACAGCCTACACATTAAGTGCAACAAAAAGTTTTTACAAATGTTATTAGTGTATAGGTCGTCTCTTAACAATATAGCGAGGCAGTTCGAGATAAGCTTGATTTTGGTTACGGGATACAGTGAGATTTCGGGGAATTGTAAGACAAACGAGCTTACGAGACATCGGACGGGATTTTATCTGGAAAAGAGAATCTGAGCATACCTCAAATCATCCATAACCTATTGCTACGCAACGAGGCAGTGGACCACTAATACTCAGACGAAAAAATGCAACAATGTGTAACGCGACGAGGAAGCTGTGGCCAAAGCTGGACTTGAGTCGCACAAGGGACCTTATATCTCTCCGGAGAGACAATATAGCTAGCTGTGTTTAGAAATGTGAGATAAAATTGAAGAGAGTCTGTAATATAATTCCATAGTTTCATATGGTATAATTCTAGAAATTTTTTTAAAATCGGGTAAGAATACATGTACAATTCAAAGATTAAATTTAATGCAATTTCAAAAGATGTCGTACATAAAAAAATCGAAAATTACATAATGATTTTAAAATTAAATTTTTCATATTTTTAATACAAAGTTTAAGTTATATATATTATAATATATATATATATATATATAATATAATATATATTATACATATATATATATATATATATATATATATTATATATATATATATGTATATATATATATATTTATATATATATATAATTCTTCTTTTTAAATCGCCTTTTATAATTTTTTAAATACATATGTAATTCAAAACTTTTATTTTAAAAACAAAAAAAAATATAGTCGTCAAATGGAATTAAAAATTTAATATAAAATATGTGTATATAAGACTGCCGACAATACAATATACATATATAAATATACGTATATATATATATATATATATATCATACTTTAACGTATTTTAATCCTTAATTTTCTATTAATATATTATTATAAAAACTTCATTATTATTATGGTTTCATCTCATATATACACACATGTACATATGTATATATACAAAATATATGAAAAATAAGAACAAAAAACTCATCATACTATATACAAAATAAGGAAGTGAAATATTATATTATAATAGTCTCTATGGTTTATATTTACCTCATACGTATATCCCATACAATAATCTTCTACACACACATATATATATATATATATATATATATTTATTATATAAAAATTAAGTAGAAGGAATATATTACAGTAAAAATTGTTGAAAAAAAAATTCACTATATTTAGTAATCCTAAACCTTAACTGTGGTGTATATAATATGATTGTATGATTGTATAACAGAAAATTAAAAAAAAAGAATACAAAACCACTATTGAAACTTATGTTTTATTCCTATTTGCTTCTATATTTTTTTTTTTGAGCTCAAAGGCATCATAAATATAAAATGGAAATATAGTGGAAAAAAAAATATCAACTAACCAAGGAATAAACAAACAAACAAATATGAGAATTTGCTCATATCATTTTAAATCCATTGAATATAATATAGAAAAAAGTAGAATGAAAGCTTACAAGAGAAAAAAATTTTCCTATGTTTTAATTTTTTCGTTGTTATTTTGTTTCATCATTGTCGTCATTTTGCTCCTTTCTTTTTTTTAAACCCAGAATTTTCTTTTTTTTTGTTCTTTTCTACTCTGTTTTTTTTAGTTTAATTTTCTATTTTTTTCTATTTTTTTCCATTTGCTTTCTTTTCGTTGTCGTTTTTCCCATTTTTAACAAATGAATCATATGAAAAGCTTAAAAAAAAGAAGTAGAAAATAAAAAGCTTTGTATACACATACAAAATAAGGCAGAACAAAAAATAAGAGAGAAATATAAAATGAGCCTATATAGAGGTTTTCCTATTATACCGTTATTATAGTCAAATGCCATTGACCTTTGTGTAATTTGAGGAATTTTTATTTTTTTTGCTACCTATTTTGCTGTATACTTTTTCTGTTTTTTTTTTCTCCCTTATTTGATTTTACTATGTGCTTTGACTAGCTCTATTCTATGAGGATTCTTTTTTTTATAAAGGAAAAAAAAATATTGACAAAAATGAATATTTGATTTTTTGAATTTTTACTTTTACATACATA